AAGTTACGGAAAAATCAATTAACGAAACGGAGACGTAACAATATGTAGACCTGAGTAAGCTGTGTGTCGGTAGCAGTCCAGTACATGGACTTCATGTCAGATTGAAGAAACACATTAGCAAACGAAAAAAGGTTATGGACATAACATTATAATGCCACGTTCTACGGTATTGCAGAACAAGGTTAATTTTCTTTGACTATGTAATGCAGCTGAGGTGCAAAATGGAGGGAGATGCTCGTACCCGACGCTCCCGTCCCTCCCTGCGACGCCCATGCTTTTCACTTCAAAAGGTATCGACTTCAACATTTAAGTGTCTGCGCATCGTTACCGTTGTAAACAGTAGCTAAAGATCACCTTACCTCACTCAACTGTGAATAAAAACGTTAGAGCACTTCCTGTATATAGTAGATACATGATTAGTTTCTTAACATAAATGGCTTGCGTGCTTGAAAAACTAGTCGATATTCATACCACGCTCGTGGTTCACGGAGAATAAGCCATTTTTTCATATCCATATTCTGACGTCGTCTAATTCGATATGAAATACGAGCACGTGCTGATCTAGCGGATAGCCAGTTGTGCAGTAGGATCTTTTGAAATATTAATACCTACATGAGCGTACTTTGAGTGTTTTAATATGTTTTTTACTTAAATCTGAAAATGTTATAATTTTCAAAATTGGTCCAAAGTCTTTTTATACTAGCAAGATAAAGAGCATCTTTTTATGAGTTAAGCACAAAGCTACACAATGGACTAGCTATGCTCTGCCCATCACGGATATCGAAACTCGGTTTTTAGGGTTGTAAGTTCACAGACATACCGCTGTGCCACTGGGAGGCTTGTAAAGGTCCTATGGTTTTATGCTACATAATATTCATCTTGTTTAATTATGTGTAAGAGATAGCTTTTAGCTTTGATTGGCAATCATAAATATCTACTTTAACAATTAAAATTCATTCAGAATATATTAGCTTAAGTTATACTGAACGTTTATGATAACCTCGCATGACTTAGACACATTATTGTTGACTAAAAAACAGAGGGGGAGGTGGTCCAAGGTTTGTTTCTTGTTTTATTCCACCAATGATATATGGGAGTAGCCTACTAAACCTACTTATTTGCTATTTACGACAAATAAAAAAGAACATTTCTTCAATGTAACATTTCACATAAAAGTTGTTAATAGCTTGTCCACCTCCATGATTCCTTCTGCAATGTAAAGCACAATAATTTTCTAACATATACTCACACAACCAGTGAAATATGTAAATTTTCTACTAGTTGATCCAGCAATTTTCATGACTTTTATGGCTTTGATTGCTTTTGTTCGAACACGAAAACATTTGTTGTAATTAAATCCCATAGGTACAAATATATTTAATTCTTAAAGAAGTAAAAAGCGCCAGAAGATACCGCCATTTACCAGACACTAAAAGACACAGTTTGTTTGTTAGCCTAAAGCTACACAATGGGCTATCTGTGCTATACCCACCACAGGTATCGAAACTCGGTTTCTAGCGTTGTAAGTCCATAGACATCCGCTGTGCCACTGGGGGGGGGGGGCAAAAGGTACAGAACATTTTTTTTTTTTATCTTAAGTAACTTTTTCGTTCACTATAAGAAGTAAGTTACCTTATATTGTAATGAACGTTAGAGCTTACGATAAGCAAAATAAGAATTACAACTCGTTTACACCGAAATAGTTTTAGAAATATATACTAATTCCACGGTGATAATCGGATTGCGAGTGCAACTATAACCTTTATGGAACTTTATCTAAAATATTACTTGAAAAAATTCTGTATGTGTTTCTGTTTGCGCTTATTATTGGCGAATTACTGAACTGATTGTCATCAAACCTGACGTGTACCTTTAAGGCCCCAGGGAGTAACATGGGGGCGACGTTTGGATCTGAATTCAGTATGTCGCCCCCGGGTGGCCTTACGTCTTTCCCCATTCATTTAAGGAATACGTCAGTTAATTAGAAGTGGTCTTAGGCTTATTTCAATATTTCATACCAAAGCGTAAACGTTCTAATGTGTATATTGAAACTTAAGCCTTAACTGATTTATAAATATAAAGCAACATTTTCACACACAAAAAAACTAAGAAAATTGGAAGTTGGAACCTATGAGAGTTCACTTATGAATGTTATATATATTTTCCTACTATGTATCAGTCTTTCTCATCTGTATTATAGTTCTGTAAAGCTGTATAAAAGACTTACTTACTTAAAGTTTAGGTTTTTAAACGAAAAATGAACCTCGACGATGCCCGTAGTTTTGACTCTAGTTCTCAAAATGTCTTGTTCAGTAGGCATGTAATCTTTCTTTCCCAACCGTTCTAGGTCGTCCAAGAAACTGAAAAAAAAGTACATACAACATCATTAAACAAAAATTTTTAAACAACATTCATAAACAAATCTTAAGGCTGAATGACAGTGGACGTTGCTAAAGTTCACCAATTTCAATTTAATAAATTCGTTAACTATGAATTGGGCAGGTATAAAATGTAATAACACACACACATATATATATATATAGATAATATTCATATCAAGTGTATTATACAAAAAGAAGACAGTGTTTTTTAGCAAAACGAAAACGATCATTAATAACTGAGTGCTTGTGAGAAATAAATGTTACATGTAACAAAATACCATTAATAACAAACACTGCTTATAAAGAAGGTAATTTCATCAAGTAAAACAAAGAGAATATACACTAGATGTACTTCCGCAGGCTTCCCGAAAGTGTTCTGTTTCAAGAGTGAATAAAACCAAAATTAAGAGTAACAAATATATTTATTTCTTGCTTTTTAAGTTCATGTGTTATGCTGTGTTGTAGCCTACAGTGTGCATAATGTTTCTCGTGGTTCGTGGCATGCGCACGTTTTATTGACGTCACAACAGTACAAATTGTAACGTTAAGAATCCCTTACGTAATGTCATTTTAGTGTCAACTGACTGATTTACAGATAACACACTACTGTATATTGGTGCGAGTGGCTAAACCAGGTGACCCCTCCAGGCGGCCTTTGGTCCTCTTTCGGGGAAATAACAGAGTGCTTATATACAAGGTAATTTCATTACGTAAAATAAAAAGGGTCATTAATAACAGATTGTTATAAATAAAATAATGTTATTTGGTGCAACAAAAAGGGTTCAGTAATAAGTTTCATAAAGAAGATAATGTTATTACGTAAAACAAAAAGGGTTCACTGATAAGTCTCGTAAAGAAGGTAATGTTATTACGTAAAACAAAAAGGGTTCACTGATAAGTCTCACAAAGAAGATAATGTTATTACGTAAAACAAAAAGGGTTCACTGATAAGTCTCACAAAGAAGATAATGTTATTACGTTGCTGTGCTGTTCATTTTGACAAAAGTTTAGAAAAAATTACACTTCAGATAAATATAAAGGAATATATTTTAATTCTACCATCAACAGTTGTGTATATTAACAAAGGCGAAATGTTGGTTGAAAAAAAATAGTTTATATTTATCTGGAGTGTAAAGGTTATTTTTCTAAACTTTTATCACAATGTGTAAATCTCTTCAGTATGCACTACAAATTTTGGAAGACAACAGTGTGAATCCCTCCAGTATGCACTACAAGTTCTGGAAGACAACAGTGTGAATCCCTCAGTATGCACTACAAGTTCTGGGAGACAACAGTGTAAACCCCTCCAGTATGCACTACAAGTTTTGGAAGACAATAGCGTAAATCCTTTCAGTATACACTACAAGTTTTAGAAGACAATAGTGCAAATCCCTTCAGTATGCACTAAAAGTTTTGGAAGACAACAGTGTAAATCCCTCCAGTATGCACTACAAGTTTTGGAAGACAACAAACAATTTGTGTCATTCATTATTAGACTTCTTTTCCCACCAAATGTACCAATTAGCTAATGATACTATTCAAACGAAGAGGGCCACTGATGGCAGTTGTTGTTTTTTGTTATTAAGTACAGAGCTCCACAAAGGGCTATCTGTATTCTGCCAAACACGGGTATCGAAACCCGGTTTCTAGCATACATACCGCTGTGCCGCCGGGGGCACCACTGATAGCATCACTAATTCACTACTGAATAATTTTATATCAGTTTTTAACTCGTTCATAATTTTTTTGAAATAAGAAAAATAAAATATTTTAGTATATTTTGTTTTGTCGTCCGTATTTTTGAACTGATAGACTAGAGGGAAGGCAGCAAGACAACGGTAAGCAGCGCCATCGTTCGGGCTACTCTAATAGAATAGTGAGATTTAATCATCACTCTTATAACATAATCTCCAAGGTACAGCTAATTAAGGAGTAAGCATGACGTATGTTGTGAAAGTTTTTTCAAGTACAGTAAACTCGAGAAAAATAAGTTCAGTTTTTAAATAACGATTTTAAATAGCCGTATTTTGACTTAGTTTATAGTTTTTCAAGATGTAGAGATGTAGATCTGACATAACTAAAGTCAAATAGTTGAAGGGCATCATATTTTCGATTTGTACTAGTGCTCCTAAAACTCATAAAACAGTTCCAATGACAGCCAGCTTTTCAGATCCTATCAATACCTCTGCTTTCTAGTAACATAATATAACGAACTAATATTTAAGGAACAATCACTTTTGAAGAACAAAGTCCCTTATCTGATAGCGTACTCATATTAGCTTTTCAGACCAAAGCGTAAACTTTCCATGATCTAACATAAAACAGTTTATAGGTGAGTTAACTCTTAAAATTATCGATAGGGTCCACCCTATTAGCTTTTTAAATACTTTGTTAAATAAACTACAGTCAAACAAAAAGTTTTATGAACGATATCATCAGTATGGCAGTTAAATCTACTAATTATTGCTGGGTCTCCCTTGTGTATTTTATATAGAAAATAAAATATCTCACCACTTTGTATTGTCACTTTTCACACAGAGTGTTGCTTTGTTTATTTGGTTGTTAAGCAGAAATCTGCACAATAAACTACATGTGCTTAGCCCACCGCGGGTATTTAAACCAGATTTTTAGCGTTATAAGCCCATAGGCATACTATCGAGCCACTAGAGGGGCAAAGTTCTTTTATAAGACAAAAATATAAAATGACTCAGTATAATGTAACTCCCCCACCCCCAGCGGCACAGTGGTATGTTTGTGGACGTACAACGCTAGAAACCGGGTTTCGATACCATGGTGGCCAGAGTACAGATAGCCCATTGTGTAGCTTTGTGTTTAACTTTAAAACAAAAATGTAACTTTAAAACAAACAATAATGTAACTGATGGGTAGCGGACAACATAAAAAACAAAAACAAATGAGTAACTGGAAGGTTAAGTGAAAGTAGGAATGTTTTAAAATCGTCTGACAATATTTCTTTATTTGCGTTTGTATCAGCTAATGCAGAGGAGCAGATGAGGCAAAGAATTGCGAATGAGGAGCAACTGCTATATTTCGAGTTTTCTATTTCAATTTTACAAATATTGTTATTTACAAGAAATATAATATCCTTACGTTTATTATTTATTTTTTTAAGTGCAAAGTTGCAGATTAAGGCACAGAAACTTGAATTTTAACGTTATAAGCCATAATGCTAACTCTGTGCCATCAACATGTGGGAGTAACAACTGTACATAACCTTGATATTAGTTCGATTGCAGGCCAAAGAACCGTTCAAATACATTAGCATTTTTTGTGATGCTTCCGTAGTTTCTGTCAAGATATTATCGAATTATATTTCCCTGATAGGAGCACTGCTTAAATATGTAATATTTATTGCGTCTATTAATACTATTTGGTATTTCCAGCTTGAGCTGAAGCTTATACGACATATGAACTAAAAGGCCCGGTCAGAGGCGCCAAAATTTAGGCATAACCATCCCTAATTTAGAAAGGCAAACTATATAAAGAAGACAACCAATCAGCAGCGCTAGCTGCCTTCATGGCCACTCCTAACCTAGTAGCGGGATTCACACTTATAACCCTACAGATGAATGGGCAGAGCTTATTTAACAGCATGTGGCGGTTCGATCCCTGGGCCTTTAGATTCAGATCCCAAAGTAGGGCATAGCCGTCAAGTAAATATAATATATTAAGTTCCTCGTCAACAGCTATACTTTTGACAGAGACAGACACATCTTTCTCTCCTTTTTACCATGTTATGTACATATATAGCCTTTTTGTATAATTATAAAAGAGTAATGGCCTCTTAAAGCGACATTGTCATTGAATAACATGATTAAGTAATTATTATTTCTCTACTTATGTCGTCTAACATAAAATATATTAGTGAAACCAAATAAACATGTGACATTTTGCTCTAATTCCACTGTTTACGGATGTAGTATCGTCAGTTGCACCGACTTACTTTTCAAGTAGTAAAATATAATTCAATAAGGAGTAAATTTGAATTCTGACTTTGACTAAGCTTGCAGTGAGGAAGAGATGGACGTACTGTAAACAAAGTTAAACTCAAACTATATTTACAAAATTAGTCAAAGTTAAAAGGAAGCTTTAAGGCCTCGGTTGAGCTTTTAATAAGAAAATGTTCCAGACTAAGAAAATACAACACTATATATATACGAGATTCTATAATACCATTCCTCTCAGTGCGCAAATGTTACCCGTGTCACTGGTGGTCATTTTAATAGAAATATGAGGGAGGGATCATCTGAATTGTCAGTGGAAAAGGTCGCTGTCCATCTTTAAATAGAGTATTTTACAATTTTCCTCACGAGAAAGAGCACTTGACACCCCAAAGGAATGATCCGGAAAATTTATATGACTAGTACGAAAGAATCTTAGCCACGTTCATTGATCAACGTTCTGCTGTGAGCATTACGTAAACATATATGTGTGTAATCTTTTTCAAAACTCTTAGTGAACTTTAAAGTTCACCTTACAAACTGAAGAAAGCGTAAAACACTACACGGATGATGCAGCTCATGGCATTAGAGACGATAGATAAAACAGAGGTTAATGTGAGATCACGGGTTTAGAGGAAGTTAATATAAAACCACAAATTTTGGGAATGGTGATGGTAGACAAAGGGTCTAGAGGATATTAACGTGACACCACGAATCTAGTGGAGGTTCATGCGAGACCGTGGATCTTGACGAAGATAGTTTAAGACCATGTATAAGAGTTTCGGGTTCTTAATGATAAGCAACGGATCTAGAGAAGGGTAATGAGACCACAGATGTAGAATATATTAATGTGAGTTCTTATATCTAAAATATAGCAATGTGAGACTGTGTATCCAGAGAAAGTTAATAATGACCAAGGACCTAAAGAAGAGTAATGTGAAATCACAAGTGTATAGGAGGTTAATATGATACCACAGATTTTAGAAATGTTAATGGTAGGCAACGGATATAGAGAAG